GAGTCCCGCCAGAGGCATTTTATTACACAATTTCTTTATTCATTTATTTGCAGGACTACATTCGTTGAGAGCTATGCTACGCGATGTATTATTGTCCTTTATTAAACACTGTATTTACCTTTCTTTGATGATTTATTATATATATATATATATACATATATATTTATATATATACATACATATATATATGTGTGTGTGTATATTATTATGTATATATATACAGTATACAGTATATATATATATATATATGTGTGTGTGTGTGGTGTGTGTGTGTATGGATATATATTGTTTTGAAATTGCTCTGATAACAATAAAGTTAAATTTACATTTTAAAAGAGTTTTACCGCAAAAATGGCAGCCATCTTGGAATTTTTTGTGATGACTTCATTATTCCGATTAAATTTTTTAACGAGAGTGAGGAGTAACTATTTAGCCAAATTCTTGTTACATTTGATATACATAGCATATGAAAAAAGTGACTAAAAACATACATTTATCTCCCCTACCCCCATCTTAATTAGCCCAAAATAGGATATTTTATGTCAAAATTTTAAAGTGCTATGAAAAAAATTGCCCAAGCTCTAAGAATGGGGATTTTTTTTCTGAGACACTATATGATATACTGATTTAGAAAAACCAAAAATAAATTTTCCTTTACTTTTTTCCCGCTAATTTCCTACTGCACCCAGGCTAATTGTGATCCTCATCTCTTCGCTGTTGTTTACTCTAAGCAGTAACAGTTTTAAGAAACAGTAACAGTTTAAGTAACAGTTTTAAGCAGTTTTGACTCAAAACACCACTCTCTATCCTTGGTGAAGTACCGTATTCTATGAACAACCAACTATTATTTGAATTCAAATCAGAAATTCAAAACATACAAATACTAACTCGATATATTACTCCTAAATTTTTCACATGAAAATATTAACATATCTAAACTGAAATAAGAATATCCGTTTAATATAAGATTTTTGACTTTGTTTTGGTAGAAAACGGAAGGAATAAACTCCGAGATTTCAATGTGTGCAAATGAAATTATTTACAATGACAACATAGGCCTATTCAATCAATCAATCAATCAATCAGCGATCAGTTCAATCAATTAACCAATCAATAAATTAATCAACCAATATAATTAACCATAATATTAGCCTGGGTCATGAAGATGTTAAATTTCATTCAGAGGCTGGGGTTGATTGGCCGAATACTATCCAATAGGAGAGCGCCCCCTTGGGCACCCCCTTTACCAACTTCAGCGCGAACTGACGCTTTAAGTTTTGTACGTTGGAAGATCATATTAGCAATGCCTAGCTTCATACAAATATCAGCTATTTTAAAAAATAAGCTATCTACAGTATCAGTCAATGAAAAAAAAAAATTATTCACCCACTGGCATTGACGTTCGTGACATAGGCCTACTTTGCCAATGCTGCAGCTTAACAGATTTCAAATTGGACTAAATTCTATAATCTTAAGTTACCAACGCAATTACTGTACAGTTATTCATATATACAATTTGAGAATGAAATACAAACAAAGTGCTTTAGGCCTAGTGTTTAAAGCAAATTCCTGCTATATACAATAGGCATCATACTTCCTTCCTCATAAGCTACAACCATACTGAAGCAGAGAGCAGCTTAGTTCTCAGTCGGCTAATCTGGTGGTAGCCACTGTGTATGCGCTGAACCGTGGAGATCCCTAGGTCCCCGGTTCAATTCCCATCGCTGCCTCTCCTTGTGTTTCAGCTAGAGGGCTCGAATACAAGTTACAATAGCGCACCGTCTTTCGGATGAGACGTTTAAGTCGTTGGTCCCGTCAAAGAGTATAAAACTGCCGGGTTGATTTTTGTATGATCGGAAATGCAAAAAAAGAAGGAGGGAAGGAGGAGAAGGATGGGAAAGAGAATGTTTATCCAGTACCTGACCGAGTTACATTTTCTCGCAATTCACATTGGCGGATCTGGGAAAGGGGGAGAAAGAAAATTAGAATTTTGAAGAACATAAAATTCATTAAAACACACTTCAAATGTCGGTAAAGCTCAATTCCTGCCATCTAGGAATCAAAATTTTCCCGGGGGAGAACCCCCGGACCACCCTTTCTTTTTGGGATTTATCGATTCATGGAAAAAAGAATACGCATGCAACTACTCATTTGTTTATGTATGTATAAAAATAAAAAATGAGAAAAATTTACCTGACCTTTTTCAAGAGGGGAAACCTTGAATTTTGAAGAACTTTAAAAGTCATTAAAAGACATTTCAGAAGTCAGGAAAGCTCATCTCCCGCCATCTAGAAATCAAAATTTTTCCGGGGGAACCCGGCCCCCTTTCTTTGGAGTTCATCGATTAATTGAATCATTTTCAAGGGGGGGGGGACCTTGAATTTTGAAGAATTTAAAAGTCATTAAAAGACACCACAGAAGTCGGGAAAGCTCATTTCCCGCCACCTAGGAATCAAAATTTTTCCGGGGAAGAACCACAGGACCTCCTCCCACCCCCCTCCCACCCTTTCTTTTGGGATTTATCGATTCATGGGAAAACTACGTATGCA